TTTGGGGGGAATTCGGGGATTTTGGGGAGAATTTGGGGAAAATTTGGGAATTTTGGGAGAAAATTTGGGAATTTTTGGGGGGAAATTGGGAATTTTGGGGGAAATTTGGGAGTTTTGGGGGAAATTTGGGGATTTTGGGGGGAAAAATGAGGAAAAAATGGGAATTTGGAGGGAAAAATGGGAATTTTGGGGAAAATTTGGGAATTCTGGGGGGAAATTTGGGAATTCTGGGGGGAAAATTGGGGAAAATGAGGAAAAATTGGGAATTTTGGGGGAAAAAATGGGAATTTGGGGGGAAATTTGGGAATTTTGGGGGAATTTGGGGGGAATTTGGGAATTTTGGGGGGAATTTGGGGATTTTGGGGGGAATTTGGGAATTTTGGGGGGAATTTGGGAATTTTGGGGGAAATTTGGGAATTTTGGAGGAAAATTGGGAATTTTGGGGGGAAATATGGAAAAATGGGATGAAACTGAGAAAAAAAGGAGGGAAATGGGAGAAAAGATGGAAAAATGGGAAAAAAAGATGGAAAAACAAAAAAAAAATCGTTGAAAAATCAGAAAAAATAAAAAAAAAATCTGAAAAAAATCAGAAAAAAATCAAAAAATAATGTGGAAAAATGGGAAAAAAATGAGAAAAAAGATGGAAAAATGGGATAAAAAGGAGAAAAAAAGATGGAAAAAAGGGATGAAACTGAGAAAAAAAGGGAAATGGGAGAAAAGATGGAAAAATGGGAAAAAAAGATGGAAAAACAAAAAAAAAATCGTTGAAAAATAAGAAAAAATAAGAAAAAAATGCAAAAAAAAAGACAAAAAATGGGAAAAAAAGGAGAAAAAAAGATGGGAAAATGGAATGAAAAGGAGAAAAAAAGAGGGAAATGGGAGAAAAGATGGAAAAATGAGAAAAAGAGTTGGAAAAATAATAAAAAAAATCGTTAAGAAAAATGCAAAAAAAAATGCGAAAAAAATGCGAAAAAATGCGAAAAAATGAGAAAAAAATCAGAAAAAAATGTGGAAAAATGGGAAAAAAATGAGAAAAAAGATGGAAAAATGGGATAAAAAGGACAAAAAAAGAGAGAAATGGGAGAAAAGATGGAAAAATGGGAAAAAATATTGAAAAATCAGAAAAAAATCGTTAAAAAATCAGAAAAAATCAGAAAAAAATGCGAAAAAAAAGAGAAAAAATGGGAAAAAAATGAGAAAAAAAGATGGGAAAATGGAATAAAAAGGAGAATAAAAGAGAGAAATGGGAGAAAAGATAGAAAAATGAGAAAAAGAGTTGGAAAAATAATAAATCATGAGAAAAATCAGAAAAAAACCACAAAAAATCCCAAAAAAGAGAGAAAAGATAGGAAAAAAACTAGAAAAAAAATGGAAAAATGGGATGAAACTGAGAAAAAAAGGAGGGAAATGGGAGAAAAAATGGAAAAACAGGAAAAAAGGTTGGAAAAATAATAAAAAAAATCGTTAAGAAAAAATGCAAAAAAAAATGCGAAAAAAATGCGAAAAAATGCGAAAAAATGGGAAAAAATCAGAAAAAAGATGGAAAAGTGGGATAAAAAGGAGAAAAAAATGGAAAAAAGGGATGAAATGGAGGGATAAAAAGGAGAAAAAAATGGAAAAAAGGGATGAAATGGAGAAAAAAGAGGGAAATGAGAGAAATGATGGAAAAATGGGAAAAAAAGATGAAAAAATCGTTAAAAAATTAGAAAAAATGCGAAAAAAATGTGAAAAAAATCACAAAAAAATCCAAAAAAAATGTGGAAAAATGGGAAAAAAATGGGAAAAATTGGGGAAAAAGTGGGAATTTTGGAGGGGCTGGGATTTTTGGGGATTTGGGGCTGGAATTTTGGGAATTGTGCTGACCTTGGCGGCGTTGATGAGCTCGTCGGCCAAGCACTCGGCGATGGTTTTGATGTTGCGGAACGCAGCCTCGCGAGCGCCCGTGCACAGCAGCCAGATGGCCTGGGGGAGAAAAAGTGGGAATGTTGGGGAAAAATCGGGAATTCTGGGGAAAAATCGGGAATTCTGGGGGAAAATCGGGAATTCTGGGAGGGAATCTGGAATTTTGGGAGAAATTTGGGGATTTTGGGGGGAAAAATGAGGAAAAA